AGAGAACCCTGTTTGTCTCTCTTGTTATGTCACTTTAAAGACCTGGAAAGGGTTATTAACGCCTTTGTTACCTCGAGGTTGGACTACTGCAACGCTCTGTACGTGGGTATGGACCAGGCGTCAATTAAACGCCTGCAGCTAGTGCAGAACGCAGCTGCACGTCTACTCACTGGCCACAAAAAGCGTGACCACATCACCCCAATTCTGGCCTCACTGCACTGGCTTCCAATTTGGTTCCGAATGGATTTTAAACTCCTTTTATTTGTTTTCAAAGCCCTAAATGGGCTGGCTCCGGCCTATATAGCTGAACTCCTCCAGCGCTACACCCCAGCCAGAGCTTTAAGGTCTGCTGACCAGCTGCTGCTGGTAGTGCCCAAGACCAGGCTCAAAACCCGAGGGTACCGAGCCTTCGCAGCAGGCCCTAGGCTCTGGAACACTCTGCCCCTCCATGTGAGGTCGGCCCAGACCCTAGGGGTTTTTAAATCTACTCTTAAAACACACTTCTTCTCCCTGGCCTTCTAGTCAGAGCGGAGCACGACTCCTGACTTTTCCTTGTGTTTTTTATATATCTGTTTTATTTAATGCTGTCAAAATTATCGCGTTAACGGCGGTAATTAATTTGAATTAATTGAATTAATTGCGTTAATATATTTAACGCATTTAACGCATGCGCAGAATGGCCCGCCCCATACATCCCACCATACATCCCAGCGCCAGGGTATGGCTGGGGTAGGCTACACCCATACCAAGAAATGGCTTAGCCCCACCATGAAAAATGATGTTAAAGTAAGCAAAATAAAGTCCGCCAACTCGCGCGGAGTAAATTGCACAGACAGCAGTTAGTAAGATTGATTTCAGTAGCCACAATACCGAAGACTAGAAACGGTTTTGAAAACTTTTGTCACGTAGTGATCGTCTTCTCAATAGAACATCTTTGATAATGTCTTCTGGCCAATCAGAATCAAGATAACGGCGTGGTGTTGTTGCAGGAAGTCCCTACGGAGAATACTTTTGCTGTAGTACATCTCTATACGTCGATACAACATTACGTGTTGATAGAAATCAACACGTAGGCCTAATGAAATAAGACCCCACGGTGTGATGATTGATAGGTGTGTCTTTCATTTTGACACACAGAACAATGTTATAATAAACATACATAGGCCTACATACTGTATGTTAAATGGATATATCCGCCTTCTTTCATTTATCTTTCCATTCCCACAACAATATACATAAATAAATGGCATATTTTGGATATAGTTCGAATGGTGATTAATCATGATTAATTAATTTTTAAGCTGTGATTAATCTGATTAAAATTTGTAATCGTTTGACAGCCCTACTTTTATTGTGATTGTAGTAATGTGTTTTTATGTGATTGTAGTATTTATTACATGTACAGCACTTTGGCCCGACCAAAAATCGCTTTTAAATGTGCTTTATAAATCAACTTTGATTTGATTTGTGACATAATGATCTTACTTGCATTAATGGGGTAATTGGAGAAGCCACAACTAAATGTTCAGAGATGGATTACTCTTCCCATTTTCAAATGACTCAACATGTATGCTCCATTTAGTCTTTTAACTGTAACTGTGCAGATTTTGCACACATACTACTAAGTCACAGAGTGAACCACATGCAAAGCAGTGTCTTTAAAGAAAGAGCCTAAGGCGGGATAAAATAAGAACTTTGTGTTAACGTCATGTAAAAGTAATGAACCCAATGTTACTTTTACATTCCAATATCTCTGTAGGTGTTCACAGCTCCTTATGGCTATCAAACAACTCCTGGTGAGTAGGGATTTGCACTATTAACATGCTCTCTGCACAACCTAATGTATTATGGAAGGAATACTAAAAGTTAAATTGTGCTTTTTTTCTTTTGCTTGAGTGGCACTAAAGGAAACCACCTCCTATTTCCTATAGAAGTCATATCCCGCTTGCTTTTAGGGTTTCTGTTTTCACCGTGAATGGACCTCTGTCATTCACTAGGCAGCAGGAGGCTAACAACTAATAAATCACTGCTACTAATGGCACATTTCCACTGCAGGGCCTCATACGGCTTAGTACGGTATAGTTAGGCCTTGGTAGGCCAGGCTCACTTTATGCTGCGTTACCATTACAGTTTAGGAACTGAGGTAGTAACTATAGTAACGCAGTGTAGGCGGAGCCGTGAGGTCATCTTCAATGCGAAACACAAAACCAGCCGTTAGCTGTTAGCCCTCAGAGCTCACAGCTCCTCATATCTGTTCAGAAACTAGACAAAAGTTAAACAAGTACAAACCACAGACTGTCTGTGTCATGGTGAATACAGTCGCTGGTTTATTTATGTCTGTAGGCCGTTGTTGTGAGTGTGGACGGTCGGAGCATATACAACGTTAGCTTAGCCGATCTCCATTCAGAAAACACGCATCTTAAAAAGGTTTTTCGCAGACTTGTCAAAGCATTAATTCACTAACCGGTATCAGTATGTTGTTACTTCGGCATCATTTTGAAATGTGTCTTACAATTAAATCATGGTAAAATATGTTCATTTTGTTGTAGTTGCCAGCGATTCTCTCACTAGTTTAGCATACTCAGCCCGGTTGTTGGCCCGGAAAGAACCTCGATTTTGGAGAGCCAGAAAAACTGTGAAAAAGTACCTGCTAGCCGGAACTACGCCTAGTGGAAACGCAACCAAAAACGGACCGGGCGCGGCACGCTTAAACCGCGCTGTAGTGGAAATGCGCCATAAGTGAGCTTTTCCTTGCACTGCTTGCAAACAGCAACCAGGCTAATTTATAACCAGAGGAGGCATGAGGGAGAGGCTAAAATAAGCGAAGAGGTCAGGCAGGTTATCTTGCAACATGTATTAATTTGCATAAAGGAAAACCAAAAACTAAGATGATGTTTAGACATACACTGGATGACCATTATTATTAAAATCCTAAAATACATCCTAGAATGAAATAATCCAGTCATTTTATTTAGGCAGTTATACTGCACCTAAATGTATACGTTAGTAAGGCTCTCACATTGTTCATTATATTTTAGAAAAATGTAACTGATGAATGTCCCTCAAAATGAAATATACAGTATATAAGCAATGCACACAACAAAACATGTAATTCTCTAAAAACACGGTTACTTGGCAGAAAGCTTTGGGATGGCAGTGAACACAGAAATGTTCCTGATTTCATTTTGATTCTTTATAACTGTTCAAATGTTGTGAGAGAAACTATTTGAAACTTGTTATCAACAAACAGTAATCCAAAAACACTATTTTCCATTACTGTGCAGGCAATATATGCTTTTATAGTTTATCATGTCATATATCTGTGGCAGGAGCCAAGACTGCAGCTCTTTGACAGTGACTTCACTAGTTCTCATTAGGAAGGTATGCAGTGCTGCTTCATTAGCTTGTGACCCACATGCCCAAATTAAAGAACTAGATTCAGCTGCAGACAGAGTTTGAGTGTATTTAAGGATAGACTGAAATCCAGAAGCTTCCTGTGCATACTAGTGAAATTAATTATGGTACACAGAGAGCAGACTAACAATGAATTCAAACAGCCAAAACTAACCTCAACCATTTTTGCGTCTATTGCTGCCTTTAACAGAAGAAAAAAAGTATATTGAGGCCAGTGAGGACACTTCATTCCCATGTCAGTACTATGTCTAATGAACAGAGGGACTGAGGGAGGCACAGAAAGGGCCGGTCAGAGGGACGGGATCTGATTTGAAGAGTCCTGGGAGTTAGGTCAAAACCTTAAACCGCTAAAGAACCACCGAGGGGAGACGCATAAATCAAAACTCTCAAGTTCAAAGCTTCCTAAAAGGAGAACAAATACTATGAGGAGAGAAGACTATTCATTATTTCTTAGAATTAAGCCTGCAAGTGTATTTCAATTTATACATTTTATATTAAAGATTGTTGTGAGGTAGAGGATAAGACTGGTTGGTTGTTTAAACAGTTGTATTTTAGGGAATGATTCTTTGTGCACAAACCTAGACTAGAGCCTAGTAAAAAAGGTATTCAATCCCATTAAGTCTTTAAAATTGAATGAAATAAAAATGTATGGGGAATGTTAATTGCAATAATTCCTCATCAACATTACTGTAAAACAAACTTTAATGGTTGTATGCGAGTCCAGTGCTAAAGAGGTAAAGAGTACAATTATCATATAAGGCGAATCAGAAAACCACCGAGACCTGTTTCTATGGAGATGAACCTACAGCTAATAATCTGCAACAAGTAACTTTTTAAAGCCGCTATCCTCTACATTCATGAAGCAGTGAAACGTGTCCTGAGGAAATATGGAATATATTCCACAGATAACAGAATACGTGAGCAGTGCATTTCTTATCTTTGAAAGTCATTGTTCACCTCTACGTGTGCCATTTCTCGAAATAAATTAGGTTAAAATAAAATTTGACAGCTTTGTCAGATGGTATGGGTGAGTCAACATTTTTAATGTCTCAGAAACTGCACTCAAACAAAACTTTAAAATCACAACCATGTGAAAAAGTGAGACCGCCGAGCAAATGATCAATTTCATGTCCTAAATAAATGATCTTTACAACAAAGCTCCAACAAGCCGGCTGAAACAATAAGTAGTTCCAAGGCACATTTTCCGCAGTGACAATGTCATACTAGTAAAGTTTCGGAGCCTTTGTGCTGCCTGGGCCAAGTGCCATTCTCTTTGACCCCTCCAAATTCCCCTCCCCCACTCCATCTCGCTCTACCTTGACCCTTAAAAATGTGAGCAAAATCAAATGCATAGAGCCCCTTTTGTCACAGCTTGCAAATATTTTGTAGCAATGAAACATATGAAGTGAAGGAAAATGTTTTCCCCTTGAAGAACTGCCAATTAAACAATAAAACTCAAAAAAGGTAACTGCATGAATCAAAAGCAATGAGGAATCAACGGAGCGGGAACCCAGGCATACAGAGATTCTTGGTAGAGGAGAGAACTTCCAGAAAGTGTTGAGTGAGAGAAAGAGAGAAGCACTTACCACGTCGAGCCCGTTATCCGAGACCGAGAATGAAAGATTCCTCTCTTCTATCTCTGATCCACTTCCATTTTTCTGAGCTCCCATATGGCACCCCCCACCCAGAGAGGCAGAAAGAGTGCAACAGAGGGAGAGTCGGAGAGAAGGAGAAGAGAGGGGGGGTGCATTAGTCCAAGTGTAGAGATGGAGGGGACTGTTGCAGCTGTGCACCCCCGTCAGTATCTCCTCAAATCCAATCCTCTCCTCTACGAGTGTTCTGCAGCACCGCGGAAAAAAGACAACGGAAACAAAGTGATCCTCTTACACACAGCCCAGAGAGGAAGGGAGAGGGACGGGGGGAGAGAAGCGTAGAGAAGGAACGACACAAAGTGAGCTGGTGAGGAAGGCCGAGGCATCTGGAAAGCAGGTTCAAGTTTTGAGCGTTCCTCTTTCTGTCGTAGGAGTGGGAGGGAACAAGAGGGACCTTGTAGAAAGCCGAGGAAACAGTGCATAATACCTTCCAGCTTCTTTCTCCCCCCTCTTCTCTCTCTCTCTGTTTTCTCTCGCTCTCTGGTAATATGCCTGGCTGCAGCCCCCACCCCTCCTCCGGGCGCTGGAATGCAAGGCAAGAGTTTCAAGGGGCCCAGTTAGACAACCCTCAGAGTCACTGCACCTTGACCCCAGGGTCAGACGCTGTGGGTGTGTGTGTGTGTGTGTGTGTGTGTGTGTGTGTGTGTGTGTGTGTGTGTGTGTGTGTGTGTGTGTGTGTGTGTGTGTGTGTGTGTGTGGCCTAGCATTACTATACTTGTGGGGACCTAAATCTGTTTACACAGTCACGTGTAGGGACTCGCCTCCCTTATGGGGACAAATTGGAGGTCCCCATGAGGGGAATCATTAATTTTAGGGTGAAGACTTGGTTAGGATTAGGGTTAGGGTAAGGTTAAGGGTAAGGGTTAGGCATGTGTTGGTTATGGTTAAGGTTAGGATAAGTCTCCAGGAAATGCATGTAAGTCAATGTAATGTCCCCTGAAGTGATGTATACATGGTGTGTGTGTGTGTGTGTGTGTGTGTGTGTGTGTGTGTTTGAGGGAAGGAGGGGTGGGTTACTTTTATGTCTGTATATACTTACATTTGTGGGGCCAGCTTTGCCTCACGAGATCACATGACCGTACAGTGATTTTACTGTGGAACATGTACTCTGCTGTAACAAGTCACAATCAATGTAACACTGATTGGTGTAACACACACACCGTCGCTGCCTGCTCTCCATAAGAGGAATTTGAATAGAGCTGTTTTATATGTGGAGAGGATAGTACCAAACCCTATATTTCACTTTTGAAATTTGTTTTTTTTAATACATTTTATTGTAGTTGAAAGTAATTGAAAAATAGTTTGGACGACATACCTATGTATAGGCCATCATAGTGGAGATACAAAGGCAGGTTGCAGTGTTTTTTGGCCAAACACATTAGGATTTAAAAAAAATCTTTATTTTGTTTTAATGTAATACATTTTTCTTTTCTCATTCCATGTTGTGTTGTGCCCAAGCGGCAAACTCTGGGGAAGAGCCGGGACGCCAATACGGAAGTGCCACACACTGCAGTTCATATATTGGCCGATAGGCGATGGCTGCAGAAAGGAGCAATTTCCATAGACCCCCATGTTAAAATGCCCAACTTTACAGCAGAAAAAAACATGTTTCTACCCCTGGCTCCATACATTTTTATTATCGATATAGTTAGATTCCACCTTCATGATTATGGATCTGTGAGTGAATTGTTTTCTAACGCGACCCTTTTATTTATATTAGGTCTTAAAGTTGTTGCATAAATTAGGGCGTGGTCACTTTGATGGACACGTACATGCCTCACTGTCAGCTAACAGCAACTTGTCCACTCTGCTAGGCTACAACCATAGAGGCTAGCTACAACGTTAGTTAGTCATAGTACTGTACTTGACCCTTTAGCTTTAGCCGTGTTCGTGGTGATTGTGCCTTTTAGGGAATATTGTTACAAATACCAGACAATTAAAATGTCGTGCTGTGCGCTTGAATGTACTAACAGAACTTCTAAGAAGTCTAAAATGATAATATTATACATGTTTACCCCGTTCGCAGGTGTTTGTGTGCTTGGTAGCTTAGCTTGTTACTTATTAGCCAGCTAAGGACGTAACCCTTTATGCATACATATACATTTTAGTTTATGATTCAGCCTTGGGTAAGACTGTTATAGTCTATGGCTATGACGCCCATAATGCTAAACGGGAGCAAATGTTAATAGGAGACCCAATTATCCCAGTGGTGGCCGCCGGAGCTAACGGAGCCGAAGGGGGCTAGCTCCAGCCGGCGTCCCGGAGCTAGCCCACTGCGGCTCCGTTAGGTCCGGGCGGTGGAGTCCGTCGTTATAACTGGAGATCAAGGAATGCAGCGAAACGCAGACTTGGTTCGCCTGCTGTAGTATTAGCTAAATAAATTATGTTGAACAAGGCTTATTAAGCTGAACATCGCCACAATTGTTCTGCTATGTATCGGTACTTATTTTCTTAACGTGTGAATGACAAGCATTAAGAAAAACAAAATATAGCTAATTCTCTTGCAGATTGTCTCATTTGATTATGAATGTAACGTTTATATAGGGGAACTACACTGTTAGCAGTAACTTGGTATGCATGTATTTCATGTTAGCTTAGCTTATTAGCCTGAGCTAGCTCTGTTTACTTCCAGTTCGGAGGCAGCAGGTCCCGCCTCGGCTCCGCCTCTTTGCCCTTATTTGGAGCAGGCGGGATTAGACTCTGACGTTGCTGTCAAGCCGTTAGTGGCCGACTCCGCATACTAAGGGCTTCACGGCAACTCTGCAGAATCCTATGGGTGACGTCACGGACACTACGTCCATTTATATATACAGTCTATGGTTGTGCCACATAATAGCATGGCAATCATTTGTGCACAATCATTTGACAAGAGATTGGCTTTGCAATGTACTTTTAAGGTACCTTAATTTCAGATAACTCTTACCCCTCGATTCCACCGGGTCTGTCTACCGGGCGTGTTAGAAGCATTTCAGAAGCGGAGCGTCTTGCCTGCCGGCTTGCAGTTTTTGTTGATTTGGGCATATTTCCTGCAAAGGCTACTTTGTACAGACAAAGTTAATAATAATTGTAATATTCAAGTTATAAACGACATGAATCAAAGATGTGTTGCTGTATTTTAGTGGTAAAGAAAAGCATTCATCATCATAATTATTCTATAAATATAATTTACACAGTGCCTGTAAACCGGAGGAGAACGCTGGCATTTCTCCTCCTACTTGAAAGACTACGGAGGGATAGGGTCTGCAAAATTAGTTTATTTTGGGGATGGGCCGGATGCCCTGACCGGTCCACGGTCCACTCTGCAATGCCTCGCGTCGAAAAATAGACTTGAATCCTATTTTGAGTGGAGCCCAGCGCCGAGACGCTTCTGGGACGCACGCTACTGAGTCTGGTGGAATAGCACCCATTGACTAGAGTGGCCGCGATTTTGGCGAACGCCGCAGCGCAGCCGTAGCACGTCCGTAACGCGTCCGTAACATGTCCGTAACGCGTCCGTAACACGTCCGTAACGCGTCCGTAATGCGACGCAGAATCTAGGGGTTAGACACTATAGTTAAAATGTATAATCAATATTTAATGGCTTTAGTCCATTTTGAATGTTGGTCAACAAGCTTGCGACATATTGACAATAGCAAAACAAATGTAACTGAATGTTATTATTCTCTGTAGATAATTTGCTTTCCTACAAAATCACAGTGAAACATAATACTGATATGAAGGGAAGGAAGAACTCGGAAGACCAAATCACCTCATACTCATGTCTTGTGACAGAGTTGACAACACATTCAAAGATTGCATCTGAGACGCTTAGAATTTTTTTTATAATAGGCTCCGTTTTAGCCGTTCAGTAGCAGTAAAGCTTACACCACTGGACTTGGTTTTGTTTGGGCGATCTGTTTTAACACGTTTTTGAATCCCTCCAATCAGGCAGGTTTGCATCGTTTGAATCAGAGAAGCTGGAAATGTCTGCCAGTCAGAGCCAAGTATTGTGACCTATTCTTCAAATTCATTCAAGTGTCCCAGCTAATGCGGGTCCCTTTCTCTCTGTCTGTCTCTCACATTCAACTTGCTGTATTGGCTTGAGCATAACGACATCCCGTATAGCCAAAGCATTGTATGAATGGTGACGATTACAACGTACATCTACACATTTGGAATATACCGTTAATATACCGTTGAGTGTATATACATTTTAAATATTGTTAAAAACTTCAATAAAATAATTAACATGTTTCTTTACAAGAATTCAAGGTGCTTTTTAAAAATGAACAAAAGATTCAACAAAAAAAAACCTTTTTATTTGCTTAGTCAGTAAATATAAGTGTGAAAGACTGCTTGTTTAAATGTAGGGTACCTTGAATGTTCTATCTTTGCAGCAGTTCTTTCACACTTTTGGCACCAATCCCCAAGTAAACCGTGCGTAGAATAACAATATTGTAGTGGACAAACGGTGGGATTAAGAATTCTGTTTTTGTCATGTGTTCACAACATTTTACAAGCTACAATGCGGTATTTATCATCTAAATTTGGCGATAATATTTAATAATTCTGAAAGCCAAGACTTTGTTTTTAATTTAAATCAGAGCGAAACCCTTATACATGGACCATTTGGCTGTCATTTAATAGGAAGATGTAGGGAATGGGAGCGGCGATTGCTTAAGTTGTCACCCTGTCTTTACAAGCTTCAGAAATGTGTTCATTGTCTGAATATGGCTCAATATATGGTCAAAGTTTGATTTCCAAAAAGCCAAGCCTTTGTTTGTTTAAAATCTACTCAAACACCAAAATGACTAAAACAAGAGTTTTTTACTAAAGTCTACTACATCTCGCAATGCGTCATGAGGGCCCCAAAAAAGTAAATGGCTCGCATGACTTAAAATGGGGAACGAGAAGTCTGTAAGTCAGCGGATGCATATTTTTTTCACGTAAATCAACTTGCAAGGACGAACCATGGATGTATTATAAGAACTGGATACATCGTTTGAGGCGGGGCCTCGTTCATTCCTATGAGTGTTGTTAATTGGCGCATGAAGACAAAACGGCCTGATGCTCTCGAGAGCAAAACGTCACTGATTACCCGTCATGCCTGGCTGTCAGAGCAGACGTACCCGTATGTGCCATGGATGTATAATAAGAACTGGATACAGCGTGGGTGGCGCGGTCTCGTTCTTTCCTATGGCTGCTCATTGGCGCATGAGAACAAAATGGCCTGAGATTTTCGAGAGCAAAACGTCACAGATTACCCGTCATACCTGGCTGTCAGAGCAGAAGTACCCGTATGTGTGCTCATAGGTCAGGGATGGGCAACTTCAATGGTGGTGGGGGCCACATAATTGATGTACTGGCCACCAGGGGGCCGCAGATTCACTTGGAACACACACACACACAAATT